AAACCTTGTCCCCAATGTAACATGTATCCTGGTTTCTATTCTGAGGTCAGCACATCCTTAAAGTATATAGGCTGATTTAATTCTGTAGTTTTTTCTATTATCCAATGTCTCTCTGTAGCTGTTGTTCCTTTCTCATTAGCATTGAGAAAATTCAAAGTTAATAGAGCATTATGAAGTCTATTTCTGGCGTTTTTTGTTACCCCTTTCTGTTTATTTAGCATATCCTTTAGAGTTCTGTTTGATCTTTCTTTTTTTATTTATCTATTTATTTATTATGTATACAGTATTCTGCCTGCGCATATGACTATAGGCCAGAAGAGGGCACCAGATCTCATTCTAGATGGTTGTGAGCCACCATGTGGTTGCTGGGAATTGAACTCAGGACGTCTGGAAGAACAGCCAGTGCTCTTAACCTCTGAGCCATCTCTCCAGCCCCTGTTTGATCTTTTTATAACTGCTTGGCCTGTAAGATTATGTGGTATACCTGTAATATGCTTTATATTGTAATAAGCAAAAAACTGTTTCATTTTAACAGAGACATATACTGTAGCATTGTCAGTTTTAATTTGTGCAGGTATATCCATGATGGCCATAACTTCTAGCAAATGCATGATTATAGAATCAGCTTTTTTTCAGAACTCAAAGCAGTTGCCCATTGAAATCCTGAATAAGTATCAATGGTATGGTGTACATATTTCAATTTTCCAAATTCTGCAAAGTGAAACATGTCCATGTGCCAGATTTCATTCCTCTGAGTACCCTTTGGGTTACATCCTGCTGGTAATGGCGTCTGATTTTAAAAGGAACAAGTAGGACATTTCTTTATAATTTATTTGGCTTATTGCCAGGTTGTGGAAACATCCTTTTTTAAACAGATAGATGACTGTAAGCCACTGTGTAAGTGCTGGGAACTGAATCTGGATCCTCTGCAAGAGCAGCAAGTAATCTTAACCACTGAGCCATCTATCCAGGCCTGTTATTCGTTTACTTGATGATAGCCATTCTGACTAGGTTATAAATTCTGGGGATGGAACTCAAGAGCATGCACTAAAAAAGTAAGTACTTTGTAAACTGAGCCATTTCCTCATCCCAGGTTAATCAGAATTTCTTTTCTTACTGTTTCTTTTATTGGAAGAAATAAAAATTTTGGATAGTCATACTTGTAAATGTCCACAGGACCTAGGGTAAAA